TTTATTTCATAAAAGAAAAAAATAAGTTATTTGTCACAGACTAGAAGGATGATGAGGAAAAGGAAAACTAAACAAGATATACGACTAACTTTCACCTGGGGACTCTCCGGATGGCCTTATACTGATCACTCCAAATCAATGAATGCAGTTAGTCAGTAGTCATCCAGTTTATATTTAAAGCTCATCAAATTCGTTGTTCAGTTCATATTCATCTTCGTGTTGAGAAGGCGGAGGGGTCGTGCCCCTTATGAGTCTCTTCCCCGCCGGTACCGATAGCAACCCGCTCAGTGGTCTTTAAGTTACCATCGTCTCACTAATTGCTCGTCGAGACGGCGTTTGAAACACTCCTCGTTCCGTTCCTCCACCACCTCCGACGGGAGTGAATTCCAGAGGGAAGTCACCCTCCGGGAAAGGCGATAAACCAGGGGAAGCCCCATCGACTCACGCTTCCGGAGTGTGAGCCTGTGGCCGTGCGTCCGGTTGCAATTTCGCAGTGGAAACATAGCACGGAACTCCGGTCCCAGATCGCCACGTAGAATCTTCCACAGGTAGATCCAATCCTTCTGTAGCTAACCGAGTAGGGTTCAAGTGCCTGGAGCCGACCTTCATAGCTGATCCCGTGAAGTCCCGCGCCTAGGCGGTTGCCGTAGCGCCGTACCCGTTCCAAGTTGGCCATTTCGGAAAGCGTGCAGGGGTATACAGCGGGTCCACCGTATTCAAACCGGGGACGAACATGGGAGGCGAACAGCTTCTTCAAGGCCGTGAACGACAAGCTGTCAAACAACTGATGGATGGCACCCAGCATGCTGCTTGCCGTAGAACATGCTCATGCGGTGTTCCTCTGTGTCTTCATGGATGCGGAGATGATAACTCCCAGATCCCTCGTCGAACACAGTGGGACGTTGTTCATCAGCTAAGGAATATCCGGTGTATTCCATCTCAGGCGCATATGAGCGCATTTCGACGAGTTCACTGGAAGTTCCCAGACGTCAGCCCAGTGGTCGAACTTGTCCAAATCCTCTTGGAGGGCATGGTGGTCCTCCGGTGTTCTCATGGCTCTCCACAGTTTCACATCATCCACGTAGAGGACGCAAGATGAGCTCAACCGGGGGGGCAGATCATTCACGAACAGGAGGAACAGTACAGATCCTGTGGCACTCCACTGGTGACAGGCTAGCGACACGACTCCGTCCGGGCAACTCTGACAGTAAACGTCCTTCGGACGAGGGAATCCCAAATCCATGGTAGTAGAGGGTCAATGACACTGTGAGCCATCAGCTTCTCCAACAACTGTCCGTGTGGCACCTTGTCGAATGCCTTCCTGAATTCAACGAAGATGACGTCCGTTTCGAGACGCAAGGTCGCTGCGGACGGAACCCATACTGCTCTGAACACAGAAGATCATTCGGTAGATGTTATCGGAGTCGCTTGGCGAGTACACGTTCCATCACCTTGACGGCCACACAGGTGAGACTGACCGGGCGGTAGTTTATGGGGTCCCAACGGGCTCCTCCTTTGAAGAGAGGGCGTACAATCACGGTTTTCCACTCGGCGGGCAACCTCCCTTCGGTCAATGATTGTTCGAACAAGATGGCCAAGGTAGGTGCAATGACCGGCGCCAGCCCCTTCAGCACGATGGGATGCAGTCCATTGGGACCCGAGGACTGGTACAGTTTCAGAGCCGAAAGTGCATCACACACCGCGTCCACCGAGATGGCTTGCCAAGACAGCAGAGGCGCAGAGCACGACAGTCGGGGGGTCGGTGATGTATTGGTAGCGTAGACAGATGCATAGTGTTGCGCAAAAGCTTCCGCCTTGTCAACAACGGTTTCTGCCAGGGCACCGGCAATCTCCAACGACGGTATGTTAGCCGTTGCACGCGTGCGGCGGCGGAGGTATGCATCGAGACGCTTCGGCATAGAAGTCACTTCGGATGCCAGGGCCTCCCCGTACACCCGCCGTTTTCTGTATTTCATTTCAGAGCACGCATTACGCAGCATCTTGTATTGTTCATAGTTAGATCCGTGAGCGCGAAACGCTTTCCACGCCCTGTTTCGACGCTTAAGTATCTGATGCAACTCGTGATCAAACCAGGGGGCCGTAGCGTGTGACTGGAAGCGTTTAGGAAGAGAGAAGGCTGCCATTTGAGGATGCCGTCCCGGAAGGTAGTCTAGGAGAGGTCTACCCCCTGAGGGCAGGTGATCACCCAGGAGAGGGACTGCGCCTCATGCCATGGTAGTCCGCTTTCCAGAAATCGGGTCCGGAATGTTGTCGAGAGCGATACGGAGCTCCGCGTCGCCAATGCACCAACAGGGTCGAATGATCGCTCAAACCGGGTGGAGGAAGGTGGTCGACGACGTCGACGTTCGATGCTCGAGGGGATAACACCAGATCTAGGACTGACTAGGCCGAATCGCTGATCCTGTTGGGTTCGTGGAAGTGCTGATGCAGTGTCAACTGGTTCACGACTTGGAGGAGGTCTCTGGAGAATTGGTCCGCTTCCGGTATGCAGCGATTTTCGTCCCAATCGATTAGGAGTACACTGAAATCACCTAAAATCAAACAGTGGCCGTCGCCAGCCCATCGCCGCGTGTCGTCCAGGATGGCCACCGGGGATGTCGCTGGCGGTCTATAGTAGACTCTTATCGTCGTGTAGCCATTGCAGCACAGTTTAGTTTTGCACCACAGCCCTTCTATCTGACCGTCAGGATCCGCGTAGATGTAGAGGTGGGTAACCGGTACACTTTCATGGATGAACAGCATGACGCCCCCACCCATCAGTTCAGTTCAGTTTGCACAGGACAGAAAATTGCCACGGCCAATCGAGCGTCCATAGTTTCTTTGGTGCTATGCGGTTAAGTATGGCACCCGCCACTGCCGAAAGTAGTCCGTTACTTCCTGGCTGAAAAGAGGAAGAAAAGGGAAAGATGCCTCATCTCACCTCCAAGGCGAGGGATTGTTATACGTGAGCGTTCATCTACTAGGCTACATCCCTTTTCTCTTTTCTAAAGAGAATAGTCCCAGGTCCTGAAGCCTTTGCTTGTATTCTTTACCTCAACCATATAGGTTGCCAGTCGTTAAACGCGCTCTAAACAGGTGGCATCCTTTCTGAAGAAGGGTGACCATGCCTGCACACAGTACTCGAGGTGAGGTCTAACCTTAGCTTTGTAGAGGCACGAACACCTCTGGTTTTCTGCAAGACAGTACTGATCCAATCTGAAGAGTTCTCTGCGAGCTTTATTCGTGGCTGCTATGCATTTCTGGGCCCAACGGAAATCGGAGGTTAAGACGATACCCAGGTCCTTAACCTTACTAACCGATTATATCATGAACGAACCCTGGTATTGCACCACTATTAGGCTTTCTTCGTTCCGCGATAGCAACTGGCATTTACCAGCATTCAGCGCCCAATCCCACTTCTGCGCCCAGCTGACGACAACAGCCATGTCACTTCTAACGATCTTCCTTCCTGTAGACCCAACCACGTTGAAATCATCGGCAAAGATAAAGGTGGGTGATCTCAGCAGCGCAACAAGGTCGTTTACGAATGATAGGAACAGCAACGTACCTAGAACGGAGCCCTGGTCAGGACAGGCCACAGAACTTGCGGATGATGCCAATTTGGGGCAACGTTCTTGCACCGTGAACAAATCGTTTGCCTACGTGTCTTCGACAATAGAAAATCCGTTGCGAGCCGCTTTTGGGCTTCCCGGGGCCGAATTGGGCAACTTTCGGTTCAGGTGCTACTTCTGTACCTGATACAGTTCAAGACTGAATAGGAATGCTTGCAGAAAAGAAAAAGAGAAAGAATGCCTGCGGTCTAAGTATGCACCTAGCTGAGCGGTTAGTGAGATGAGGCAATGCTGTACTCTGAACGGTTTTCTAATTATGCTGGGAATCGGATATACCCGGCAGGGTGCAAAATACGCCTGTACAGAAGATATAAGAGTAAGCATTGGGTAAGATAAAGTGGAAGGTATGGTAGGTGAAAGCATTCCGAGGGGTCCTCGTTTCAGCAGATTGCTGCTAAACTATGGCCTGTCGTCCGAGTTACCCAAGTGCTCTTCCATTCATCTGTGACTCCGCGTCTCCTGTGTTCACCTTTCAGCACACATGGAGATCTGCTCATGAGCCGATGGCATCAAGGTTGCAGGGGCACTTCACATGGTGATGGTACACAACAGGTACCCTGTCGGCCATTGGGCCATCTGAGACTGTCTACAGCACGGTAGCATTGCTGACTCTGTCAGGTTTCCAGA